GCATGAATGAAGGACTGAAGTAATGGAATTCAGTTGAATGTACTGATGGAATGCGCGAATGCATAAGTAAACATACATTTCAAAACGCATAACACATACATGTGTAGTTGAATGAACGCGGCAATAAACCATTTTATACAGCCAAGCACATGTAAAACATGGAAAGAATCTGTAAACATCAGTTGTTTGGAAGGGTGAGGAGATGAACCACATGTTCATGGGGAGATGACCATATTATATATATATATATTCTGAATTCTATGGGATGCCCTGTTTCGCTGCACCGGACTTCCTTTTACGGAGCTTAGCTGAAGTCAAGCGCCGTGTGTTGGCTATGTTCATAGGTTCCCCCAAGGGTTGCCTGGAAAACGGGGTGTATACTCCTGCCACTGGCCATATGTTGAATGTTTCTCCCATTTAACTCAGACTCAGCGCTCGCCGGCTGCTGTGGATGGTTGCGAAATCCGCCTCTCGCAGCGTTCAGCAGGCAAAAGGAAGGAATCGAATTCCCGACGTAAATGCCAAGAAACCTTATGGTTTCAACATTGGTTTAGTGATGCGAACGGATTTCGCAACCATCCGCAGTAAGTTCCCACTTAAATGATGCCCACAGACCTTCAAGTGTGGCTTTGCACCAGTGTGCTTGTGTGTGTGTTTCCCATGTGTTCCCACAAATCTGTGGAAACATATCCTGTTTTTCGTGCTACGGCTGAAGTCTTTCTGCTCAGAACAGAGGGATGTCAGAAATTGTACAGTACGTCCATTGGTAGCAGGCCTGTGAGTCCACAATGGAGGAAAGCCAGTTGGGACCCCAGTTGGCGGCATCTCCGTCATCTTCGCGAGCCTTGGTCAGACGAATATTAATTTAATGGCCTCCATTATGTCATTATATCATATTCCCATATATCATTCAAGTTTAGATTGTTATTTGTGCTGCTATTCCCAGCAACAACGTATAGTTTATTCTTATATCAAAGTATCGACACTTTTGGCAGATCAAAGACCAATCCTCAGCAGAAACTGGAATCTGATCCGGACTCTTGAACCACTGAGTTTGCTTTGAGCAAGCTGGATTGAGTAATTGGGTGTGTTGGGGTTGGGCATTTGGAGTTTGCGAAGATGCCCATGAAAATGTCACTTTGAGAAACGACGTCCATGTGCCCCAAATCTGAGGATCATCATCAGGATGGTTTGGTCTGCTCCAAGAGTCGTTGCTCTTGGAAGAGTCCTTGCTCCAAGAGTCGTTGCTCGACCACATCGACAATGACCCCGAGTCATTGCATACTTTCAACGTTGGCCGGGGTGCCGTGTCGTGTCGCACGGGTCGTGTGCATGTTAACCAGGCCCCGCTTTGCTGGAAGTGATCTTTAGAGTTATCCTCAGTTGTTCAGTGGCACCCTTTTCCTTTTTTTTGGTGGCGACGCACTAAAAATGGTCTTTCCCAAAAAATATTCTCTTTTTTTCCAGGGTCACTGAACAACTGAGTATTGGTTTGAGAAAGACTTTGCAATTGCATTTTATGGCGAGGGGCGAGAAGTGGCGGGATGCCAAAGGGCACACAGCTGTCACATATCGCCCAAAAGATTAACCAAAATTTAATTATAGCAAAGTGTTTCTCGAGCTCAGCGATCAGGGGGCAAAACAAGGGATTTCGCCCGTGAAGGTTCCTTTCCGAGTTCCTGTCCAGTTTGTGAAAACTAAGTTGCCCATGACTATGACTCAAATCCCAACCATGGTGTCCAGCAACAAAGGTCCACTGAAAATCTATACAAATGTCTTCAATGTGTCACCCCTTTGCCCATTGCAGGCACATCCACGTCTTCGCGCAGAATAGACGGCAGTGATCATGACAACGGCACATGCGACCCCTGTGTCCTGTTCAGCTCATCTCATGGCTGCGCCAAGGGGCAAAGTTGTCCCTTCACTGCTCTTGGCATATGTCTTTATTTCTTCCATTCGCTTAAGAACATTTGTTATTTCCCCCTGTTGGTTTTTAAGGGAATGTATCACTCCTGGACATAGGTTTGACTGTTTTCCAGGGGACTCAAAAGCAAATGGAAGATTTGTGAACTTGTGGCGTTCCCAAAACAAGTCTGTCCCTCTGTTTCCAGGTTACGACGCGGAGCTTCTTGATCTGTCCAAAACGGACTTCCAGAACCTGCAAACTGTTACACATCTGGCTGTTCTGGCAGGTCTGTTTTGACTTGTGTTTGCTTCTGTTCATGTTCTCAGTTGTTCAGTGGCACCAAGTATTGTTCCCTTTTTTGTGGTGGCTGCCCCACTAAAAATGGCCTTCCCCAAAAAGGGTTCCTTTTCTTCCAGGGTCACTGAACAAAAAAAACACTTTCTCTTGGCTGGCAGGAATCATTCAACCTCCGAGCCAGGGCTCCTTAAAAGATACATTTTGCCCAGTTGAAACACGTGTTTTTCCCACCAAAATGAAGGGAACCCGCCATTTACAAGGCAATGAAAAGGTGTATAGTGTAAGGATCCCTGCTCTCTCTATCTTGTAGGGACCAGGGGTGAAAACGGTGAAATGCGTTTTCAATTGGTGTGCTCTTTGTTTGGCTAATGTACGTCGCTGCGTGGGGTTCTGTGATGATATGTGTCTTTTGGTGCAATATGTCGGCTTCCCCTCGCGTAGTTGGCCTAACTTCATGACTCGCAACCTGCCTATTGGCCACAGCAGGTCTTTTCTACCTGGTGGTGCAAAGGCCATTAGACCTACATAAACCTTCATCAATTCGACGGTTTCCGCTGGAAACGAATATGGCCATGGGTCAGAATCCGGTACCCCCAGTGAACATCAACCAATCCAAGCACTAAAAATAGGAAGCCTAAAATGGGGTGGGTAAAATGGCACCAGTTTTGACCACCACTGCCATCTGGGCGTGGCTTGAAAGAAGAATCATTCCCAGCTCCGGTTGGCAAAGCATTTCCAAGGTTGGGCTCCGTTTCCTTGAGCCTTCCGTTTGCTGAAATGAAGATGGCTGTGGCGGAAGATGTGCCAAAAATGGCAAGCGCCCGATCGGTAAATGGAACCAAAGGCTAAAACCTGCGGCTTGCCCCTGCTTAGTTTTGAGCCACACCCATATGTGTTGTGATCCCTTGGTTTTGAAACAAATCTATGACTGCTGGACATATCTTCTCTCATTTTTCCCAGGGGTCTCAAAACCAAATGGAAGAGTAGGATTTCCCCGATGCCAACAACCAATGGTTTGCAAGTGGTGCGATTTCTGGATTTCGTCCATCAACATTGCAAGCCACAAGCCATTCCTACCTGCAGTTTTGGTGAAAAAGCGTGAAGACCTACACGCAACATGGGGATTCGCAGGGGACCCCCCTTTACTGGCAGCATTTGGGATGTCAACAGGGTTCGTTTCTTGGACCAGGGGTTCTCCTAGGGAATGAACAGCCCCTGGGATCTAGGTCCCACAAATGGAGCCCACCCCTCACTGACATATGTTTCTCATGTTTTGCTTAGCTGTCAAGTGGGTTTCCCTTGTTGGTTTTAAACGGAATTTATCGCTACTGGAAATATTGTTGTTGTTTTTTTTTTTTTCCAGGGGTCTTAAGCAAATGGAAGAGTAGGTTGATAGACGCAATCGTGCACCACCTCAGAGACCCTGGAAGGATGATTCCCCTGTAAATACAAACAAACAATGGGCTCAACCATGATTTCAAAGTGGTGCGAAATGGATTTTGTCCATCCACTGTATTTGTTCAGCAGCAGGCTGTAGGTGAAAATTAAACCACCAGGGGACCGCAGGTTTTAGTCTTAGGTTCCATTTACCAGGGCAAGCCATTTTTTGGGTACCTACATTTTCTCATTTTTGTGTTCAAATCCCAAAAGCACATGGAAGAGTAGGCTCACTCCCGCTGGCCGTAAGGCCGCTACTGCCACCTCACGCCCCACGCCCCGGCAGAGAAGATCAAGGCAGCGCACCGCCCGCGGAAACAGACGAGGGACAAGTTCAAGACCTCCGTGCAAGAGATGCTCCAGGCGCACAAGGGCCGCGTGGAGGACCGAGAAGCGACCAAGGAAAAGCATATTGTGTTGGCGACGATCCAAGCAAGATCTCCTGGGGCAGCTGTTGAAAAGAGAAGAGACTCGTTTTTTTCATGGTGCCCTTTGTGGTTTCAAGGGGAATCGAGTTCGCGACATGGACATGGTATGAGGAAACTGTTCAGCCCACCCCTCAAAGCTCCATCTGGCTGCAAGAAATCCATGTGGCTGGGTTTAGGAAGAACGATGTCTGATGCGGAAGTTGCCTTTTGTCGATCGGCACCCATCCTAGCCAACTTGGTTCTTTTGGAGCGTTGGGACAACCCAGCCTTTTTCAAGGCAAGAACCCAGCCTCCGGTTGTTGAAGCCTTGGCATAAAAACATTGTTTGAACACCGCGGCTGTAACCGACCGCCCTCTGTTTCACCCATCACACTCGTGGTTGAATACGCTGGTGTTGTTTCAAGCGTGGTGAGAACCATGGTTTCAAGCAGCCAGGTTTTAAGCAACCTCGGTTTGGCAAAACCATGGTTTACACCTCGGCTTTAAACCTTGGTTCAAACCCTTGGTACATCAAGCTTTCTAAGCAAACTGCTTTGGTCTAAGCCGTGAACCCAAAACACATTGAGATTATTTTCGCATCTTGCTTGTATCAGGCAACCCTTAGTTGGTGGTTTCAATATTGGCTTGAACCGATTTGGATTTAAAGCTTTGGCTCAGTTTGTCTTCCATTTGCTTACGAATATCTTTTAATTTCCCCTGTTGGTTTTAAAGGGAATTTATCACTACTGAACATGTGTTTGATTTTTTCCAGGGTGTTAAAAGCAAATGGAAGTTGCGTGGCATAAAAAAACAGCCCTTTGTGTGGCACGGGGTGTGCTTTATAGCCCGCACTCCACGCTCCAAGCGCGGCCAAAGAGAAAAGGGACGGCTTCCTTTTTCCGCGTTTGACTTAGCGCGCGAGGAAATTCACCACGAGTTGCAGGCGGAAGCTCGAAAGAGCCCCTACGCGACTTGGAGAGAAGACGTGACGGGGGAGGGAAGGGAGGGAGGGAGGGGGAGCCTTCCTTGGTGAGGTTGGTGGACACCCTATGCTCCAACCTGGATAAAGTGGGGGGGGGGGGGGCAAGGTTGGAAATCAGGGTGCTGGAGGGGGTTGGCTGTGTCCAAGATGCAGTTTGCAATGCCCAAAGCACTCTGCAAAGACTTTGCAACTTGATTGGCAACAATGGCCCAATCCACATCAAAGCCATCACAGCAGAGTAGTATAGCAAGCAAGAGCTGGCAGCTGCAATTAGCAACAACACCTTCCAGGGCACGAGGGATACCAGCCCAACAGCAAGCATTTCAGCAGAAAATTGTGCAGTGGGCTGAACTCATGAGCAATTTACTAGATTGATTCACAATGGCATGAGTTGTTAAAGGCTTCCCCCGCCTGTGGGTTGCCCAATGCAGCCAGAGAGTCCACAGCCCCAGCCTGAAAGCCAGCCAGCCCTAAGCCCACCCCAGCAAAGCTTGCAGCCAGGGCTGGCAGCAGTGCTGAGCCAGACAGCAAAATGGCAGCAGCAGCAGCTAAAATTAACATGGGCTTGCCTGTGGCAATCCAGGAGGAAGCAATTGAAGCTGCTGCAGCATTTGTGTGCAGGAACTCACTTCCTGAGTTGATGGACTTTAAACTTTTTGGAAAGACCATTTTAGTGGTAAATAAAAAGTTCAGACTTTTTTTGGCCAGTCAACTTGGGAAGTGAGGGAAAGCAACAAACAAACAAGACCATTTTTGCTTCACTTACAGACAACCATGGGGACCAGACAACAAACTTCGACTCTCCACTTGGTTACCCCTCCAAAGCTTGCAGCCAGGGCAATCTGGCAATGGGCAGGGGAAGATAGGCTGAAAGTGTATGAGGCACAAGCTTCATGCCTGGCCCCCAAAGCCAATGCCCTGGACATGGCTGCCCCCCTCAACCCCACCGAGCAGCGCAATGAAGACAAAGCAGTCTTGGAGTTGGTTTTTCGCAGTTACTCCGACTTTCGGCACTGGTTGGGATGTGGTGTTGCCATTGTAGTGGCTTGGACAAAAAGTTTGGTGACTTTTTGTGGTCGAGCAAGTCCGGAGGAAGTGAGTGGGACATGTACAGGAAAACCACAACCTATTTTGTGAGGGTGCCCAATGAGAACAGAAGCCAAACATCAACTTTCACATCTTGGAGATGAACATGTTGTCCTACCGCCTCAAGTGGATCACTTTCCAAAAGCCCTGAGCCCTCCCAACCCCGCTGATCTAAACAACGTGGCTTGCGTCCTTTGCTGCAAAAAAACAACAAGGACATATTTCTGCGCTGTCATTTATGGCTGCTCCGCAACCATTGATCTAAATGTGTGTGTGTGTGTTTTTAAAGGAAACGCCCCAGAATCATGGGGAGTTCCTTTGGGTTTGTCCTGCCAAAGCCACGAAGAAAAAGGCAAAAAGCACGAGCAACCTGTGGCTTCCTTTTGGTCTTCCTTTTGAAACGACAAAGGAAGGTATCAGCTGTGTGCTCCTACTGTGGATGGACAAAATCATGCACCACCTTGCATTGTTTGTTGTTATTTACAGGGGAATCAAATCATTCCAGGGTTCCTTAGGTGGTGCGACATGGATTTCGTCTATCCGCTGTAGTTTTTCTTGACCAGGTGAGGAAGCTGTTACAGGGCTACCTCGACGAGGACGGGGCCGACTCCGAGATTTTCGCAGCTCGGCTCTTTAGCTTCCAAATTCCTTTTTGCATCTTGCTATCAGGTAGCCCTTCACAGGACTCCTTAAAAGATCTCCATGTTGCAAATTTGAAACATGGTGGTTTCCACCAAAATAAAGGGAAACCACCATTTACAAGTTGCAACGTTCAGGTGTATAATGTAAGGATCCCTGCTTAGTTGGTGGTTTCAACATTGATTTGAACCGATTTGGATTTTGTTATAGCTTTGGCTCAGTTTGTCTTCCATTTGCTTAAGCATATGGTTTTCATTTTTCCCCCTGGTTTAAAAGGGAATCGATTTCACTGGAAATATGTGAATACTTTTTTCCAGGGGGCTTAAGCAAATAGATTTTTAACCTTTTCACCTTGCTCACTTCCTGAGTTGCCGGACTTTACTACATTTGTTGGGAAGACCATTTCAGTGGTAGAAAGTTCAGACTCTTTCTCGGGCATCCATCTAGGAAGTGAGTATGGCGATGTCTTTTGCAGTGTCGTTTCAGCAGCCAAGTCACCATGTTTTCAAGTTTGGAAGGTGTCTTTACAAATCTATCCCCTTTGTTGTTTTTGGGGTAAAAAAGATGCTGATAATAATGATAGTAATAATAAAACAACAGTAAACAAACAAAAAACATGGTTTCGGAGCCAAACACGCTTGCGACGGTGACTCCACTCTGAGGCACCTCCGGGTCTTTTTGCGCCGAGCCCCCCGCCGGGGCTTGCGCTCCCAGCAGGCTTGCCTGTTCCATTGACCCAAGACCAGGAGACGGAGCGAAGGTGCGGGGTGCCCCCAAGCTTCCATGTGGTTAAGAATATTTTCCATTTTTCCCACTTGGGATTTCACTACCGGAAATACGTTTTGTATTTTTTGTCCAGGGGACTTCAGCAAATGGAGGCAATGATTGCTTGTTTTGAGAGTTCGCAAAATATGGACCATGCTCTAGAATGAGTACTTTCAATTGGGAATCAGAGAAAAGCCCGCAAAAAAACACCTGCAAACTCCAATTTGAAAAGGGTACCCTCACCCAGTTGCCCAGTGGCGCATTTCCTTTTTTCCTTTTTGGGTCGGGTTCTCGTTAAGCTCAACCAACCCACAATGAAAGGATGCCGATTCTTTTTTCGTTTCTGGGAATCCACTGTGGGCATTTGAAGTCGCTCAAACAAAGACCTGGGCAGCCCCAAATCCAATTGGGAGGAAGCGTCCTCCGGGTTTTTTCCTTCCCCAGAATTCGCTCCCCTTTTTGTTTTTGTTGCTGCTTTTTTGGGGCCTCTTGGTTTTCCACGAACCAGGCAACAAAGATATATTTTTGCGGTCCTAATTCCAGCCTAGTTTCCTGAAACTTGCTGGTTGCGATAGGCTCCCGAGATAAGCCGTCCAGGTGGTTTCCATGACCCTCCCTGAGCACAAGCAAGAAAACAGGGCCCTTCTTGATTTTGTTTTTGGTTGAAAATGGATTGCCAACAGCCTGCCAGGGTCCTGGAAGATCAAGGTTCTCATTGAATGGGCACAACTGTGGGTGGTAATGAAGTCGAAATCCGCGAGTCTCCCAGCACGAAATGAGAAGGTTTCTTGGTATTTTACGTCAGGGAATCGTATCATTCCGTGGGTTTCTTTTTTGCGAAATGGGTTTCCTAAGGAGGTGCTCAGAGCCCTTTTTCCCCCCTACAAGCCATCCTCATGAGGTACTTAGACCCTGTGGGAATGGGTAACCGGGTTCATGGGCTCCGTCGACGGCACGGGGAGCTGGTCAGCACTGCTCGTCCACGCCATGCCTAACAAAAACTTCCATTTTTTTTGGACCAAACGGTAAGAAACTCTGTTTTCTGAGTCTCTGGGGGTAACCAAATGGTAAGAGTTGCTCCTCTTTCTGAGTTTCTGGTGCTTCCCTTGGGCTGCTTGCTTGGGCCTGGCAACTCAGGAACGCCAAAGGTTCGAGCAACATATCGAGAGAACTCCGAAAACTGGCTTTGTGGGTAGGTGGTTCTATTTGAAAATGTTTGGTTACGCATATATATATATATAGTTTGGCTGCATTCTGGTGGAAGAAAAGGTCAATGGGTTTTGGAGCCGAAATGTCAACCACAAAACCTCACCAATTGTTGTGCATTCCGGGCATTGCAGAAGCCATGTTGAATAAAAACCAACTCTTGTTGGTTTCCCTTGAATGCGGGCCTGGTTGTGCATATGTTGCGCACATGCATGGCCGTGGAAGATTGGGGTCGTTCTCATTTCCTGTGATACCGGGCAATTCCCTGGCACAGCGGACCATTCCATTGCAACAGATCAAATGTTCAGTTGGGCAAACTTTAGAGCAGGAAAAGCTAGATATGGGTATAAGCCGGCGTTCAAACAGGGGGGCTGTGGCTGCTGGGGTTTCCCCTCCGTGAACCTCCCGGGCAGAGTTTGTGTGGGACAGCGGGCCATGTGAGGGAAGTGCTTGCCTGGACATCGCAATGTCTGGTTGTCTAAAGTTTGCCCATTTTTTTTGACAAACACAAGGCATGGCATAGTTCCTTATACCCTCTTTGGCTTACATGGCCTTGCCAATTTCTGGCTGACCTTGCCTAAAGTTTGCCCAACTGGAAACTTTGTGATACTGTGGATGGACGAAAACCATTTCGCAGCACCTAACAAACCCTGGAATGTTGATTCCCCAACGTAAATACCAACAAACAATGGTTTCAACCATGGTTGCTGAGGTGATGCGAAACGGATTTCACAACATTTCACAACCATCCACAGTACCAAAGATGAGAGCCGAACAGGTGCAGGGGTCATGATTTTGACTGTTTCTGGGGGTTATCAAAGTCAGAAAATGGTTGGCTGTTTTCCTAGTCACCCGCCACTGAACGGGGGTGACTTTGATCATGGTAAAAGAATGGCGTCAGGGATATGTTTGATGTTGCTCTCTCTCTCTCTCTCTCAGTTTCGTTAAAATCAGTTGTTACTTTGCTTACAAGTGCAAGTGCTGTAGTGTTCAAACAAAAAGTCAACCAATGTAGTCTGCAGCTGCCAACCTTTTGACTCATGCGGAGTAGTACGCTCAAGGCCTGCGGTAGTGAACATACATGCAACAAGAGTGCAAAGTGAAGCATGCAGTTTGACACGGCCCCTCAGTTAAAAGGTCTTTGTAGTACCTTTTCAACTGAAGTGCAAAACATGGATTGACAGTAGTGATGAAAACCATTGTTGTTCATCAATTCTACTGTATTGGCAAAAGTAGTGACCTGCGCTCAGTAGTTCACGCTGTTCAGGTTCCAGCTCGATGTAGGGCGCTGGACGGAAGTAGTGAAGGCAGGCACTCGTTGTAGTAGAGCAGGAGCTCAAAAATGTAGTCCCCATTTCTGGGTGCGGTAGGCTTGGACCATCTGTAGTCGACTGTCCAAGGTCGCGTAGTAGTTGGTGGTGAAAAAGGTTGTCATGTAGTTTGGAGCTCCCCGTAGTCGCTCATCATCAATCTCGGGACACGACATGTGTTGGTCGTAGTCCCGTAGAAAGCGGTGTAGTAGTGCTTTGTGGTGTTGTGTGAGGTTGGTCATTGTGAGTAGTGTGAATCCGTAGTATTGGATGCTTTTGCAGAGGATTGTAGTGATTGCTTTGTGCTGGAAGTCGTGTAGTTGGTCTCGGTTGTAAAGGTAATGGAGTAGTCAGGTAGAAGTAGTGGCATGTGGTAATTCCAAACGTAGTTGTTCCTGAGGCTGTAGTTGTCAGTGAAGGTGGTCATGTTGTAGTTCACCTTGAAGATGGTCTGTGGCAGTGTTGTAGTCGGGAGGTAGTAGTTGTGTTGTACCGACATCATGTAGGAGATGTAGTCCCTTGTGAAGTGTAGAAATTGTCCTGAAGTGAGGTACCTCAGGAGTAGTGGTTGTTCAATCTGGAGTTGGATGATGACGTAGTTGGTGTTGTCGCCAGTTGTAGTGTGGAGTGAAGTCGTGTGGTAGTAGTGGACGTTGGCTGCTTCAGGTAGTGAAATGCTGAGCAGTGTGGAATTGTAGTGTGGCATCCGAAGATCTCCAGGGATGCAGTGAATGGGTCGTGTGTAGTCCAGTTGTGCCAGTGGAGTAGCTTGTTGTTGTGAGAGTAGTTGATACTCTTCAAGTGTAAATGCAGTGCAAAATTGGGGTTGTCGGGCAGTGGTGGTGCAGTGGTTGTCTGGTGCTCAGTGATGTGTAGTTGGTCCATCACTGTGGTCGGGTTGTAGTAGACGGTGTTGCCGGGTGTACAATGGTTGAAGTGGTAGTTGGAGTCGTTGTAGGTTTGAGGTGGTGGAGTTCCATGGTCACTGGAGTCTGTAGTGACCGCCACCTCAGGTGTAGTCGCCCTGTCGGGCGTAGTGGCGTCTCCCATCGTAGCATCTGCAGTAGATGGAGCGGCCATGGCTGCAGTGGAATGCAAGATGTAGTGAAACGGGGCAAGACAAATGAGCCTAAGTAGTTGCTACCAGGCAGTCGGCGAATGCAGACATGTAAAACAAACAACTGTGGTGTTGACTCAAGCCGCCAAAAGTGCAAGTGAAAGTACATGTAGTTACTGTTACTTACATACCAAAAGTGTCGTGTTACATGTAGCTACTTACATACATGAAATGTCCAAAGTCGTTGTTGTTGTTGTGAAACTGCTGTGCTGGTCGTTCGTAGTGCTAGATGCGTATTCCAATGCTCTGGATGAGCCTGTGTAGTGTTTCTTTGCTGATGTATTTGGTAAACAAATCTGCGCTGTTGTGGAGTGTGTTGATCTTAAGGATTCTGATGATGTCGTGCTTGATGAGGTCTTGTGTGTAGAGGAATTTGAGGTCGATGTGTTTTGCTCGTTTGCTAGTGCCTTGTCGTGTAGCAATGCTCTTGCCTGCTGTGGAGTCTGTGTGGATGCGTAGGTTTAGCTTGCTGCAAATGTTGGTTTCAAGTAGGAAGTTTCTGAGGTGTAGTCCCTCATTAACTCCTGTGCAAATGGCGTAGAGTTCAGACTCTGCTGAGCTGAGTGCTATTGTAGCTTGTGTTCTGCTGCCAAATGCAACTGTTGTTCCTAAAAAGATGATGTTGAAACCTGAAGTTGATTTCCTGGTAGTAGGGCATCCTGCCCAGTCGGCATCGACATGAACGTCGAGATCCAGGATGTTGTTGGTGTTTGCTCTGAGTGTTGTTGTTGGTTCTATGGTGAATTTGTAGTGCTTGGTGCCGTGCAAGTAGCGTAGTAGATGTTTGACTCTCTTTTGTGAAAGTTCTGTAGGTGCTGTGAGGTCTCGTGCTAGTTCTTTTGTGGAGTATGCAATGTCTGGTCGTGTGTATGCTAACCATTGAAGTTTGCCAACAATTCTTCTGTACCTTTTGTGTTGTTCGTGGTCAAGTAGTGCTTCATCTTCTATTGTTGGTTTGTAGTGTGCAATTCCTGGAGTGTTTACTGAGTTGCAGTTGTTCATTCCAGACTCCTCGATCATGTTGTCGATGTAGGAGTCCTTTAGTCCAAGATTGCAGTAGTTGCCGAAGTGGTCGATGTTTCTTCCAAGAAATTGTTGTGGTTTGCCAGGTTCGAGGTAGCCGATGTGCTTGAGTAGTACCTGCTTCTGGACGGCCTCGAAAGTGGAGTCGACTGCGGTCTTGTCTCCAAGTACTAGTAGATCGTCCACGTAGACCATGATGTAGCAGTCGCGAGTCGCATTGGTGTAGACGTTGGGTTCTGACTTTAGTCTTACAAAGCTGAGCTTTTGTAGAACTTCAGCCAGGTAGTCCTGCCATGCTTTCGGTGAACTGCGTAGTCCATACATG